CCTGGAATATATGAAGGGGAGGCGGAAGGGTATGATATGTGACGTCATAGCTGCGAAAGCCCAGAGGTTAGAATAAAGATGGTACATTCCAGGGACAATGAGAAGGGCAGCCCAACTTGGGTGGAGAATTTCTAGAGGAAGTAACGGGAAATGAGGATGAATCAATATTGTCTTAATCAGCTAAGGCTGTTGTAACTAAGTCCCACAAACACACGAGGTGACTTAAACAACAGAAAGTTATTGTCCCATAGTTCTGGAAACCAGAAGTCCAAGATCAAGGTGTAACCGGTGTTGGCTTCTTCTGAGAGCCGTGAGGGAAGGACCTGCTCCAGGTCTCTCTCCTTGGCTTGTAAATGGCTGTCTTCTCCCTATGGCTTCATATATCTTCTGTGTGTGTGTGTCTGTGTCCAGATTGCTTCTTCAGATCAGAATACCAGTCAAATTGCTTTAGAGCCTGCCCTCGTTATCTCATTTTAATTTAATTACTTCTTTAAAGACCCTTTCTCCAAATACAGCTACACTCTGAGGTTACAGGGGCTAGGACTTCATACGAATTTCTGAGGGGCACTCAGCCATCACACATAGCATGGAGCCAGATCACAGGAAGTGTTAGATTCCAGATTAGAGTCAGTGGGGTAGGAAATTAGGAATCCTTTTGCATGTTAGTCATAACTCGGATTAGTACTTTGAGAAAATGAATACTAATTATGCCACTCATATACAGAAAAGATAATAAAATGGGTATCTGCCAATTAAATGGCAAAGTAAACTGTTCAGTTCATCGAAGAGAGTGTGGAAGGCTGAGCAAATGGATCCTGGCAGTCTGGCAGACCCAGGATTCAGCCCATTGGCTCCATACGGCTCTCCACAGCACTGGAGAAGTTCAGGTTGGGTGAGAAATGCCCTCAGTTCCTTGGGCTTCCGACACCCCCACCACTGCCTGGGATGTCTGGCCCTGATGCGCCAACCCTCTCCCAATGAAAGGAGATAAAAGATTGACAGCAGTTGATGAGTTCTCTGACCTTGGGTAATGAGGCTGCCAGCTAACTTCCAGAATGATGACAGCATTTCTCTTAGTAGATCTCAAGAGAGGCCAGCCATTCCTGCTGAAAGTCACCACAGAACATTGCAAAGCCACATCCCTGGAACAGTGTCAAAGCCATTTGGGTAACCAAAGATTTCAGAACTAGGCAGATTTCTTCATCTCTCCCAGGTCCATTCCTTGTTCCCTAACATGGAGCTTTGCTCTAATGTCACTCGGCCAATTGTGATGAATAAAAATACGTAAGACAGACAGCCTCAAGAAGCAAGACCAGATATTTTATGTGTGGAGGCTTCTCCATGCATCTGCCCCCAACCTAGGGAGAGGAAGGAAGGAGGGGAAGGAGGAGAAGGAGGGAGGAGGAAAAAGAGAGTAAAGGAAGGGATACCTGAGAAGATTTTGCTTACTGTTTTCCTCTGTGGATTGACTGCTAAGTAACCTTAGTGACTTTCTTTTTCTTTATCAAAACTAGCATTGCTCTTACTCTCAAACCTTGGTCAGAGCCCCTTCTGAAGTCATTTTTTATGCACGTGGATGAGTTTGGCCATCTTTGGGGATACATATTACATCATGGTAGCTAAATGAGATCTAATTTCTTTTTACAGCAAATGTGAGTGCTGACACACTGGAACAACCTGGAGCAGATTCACCACTTAGAGGTTTGCTTTAAGCAGTATAAGGAACTGACTAGAGGCATTAGTTTTACAGAGAGCTTCTCTGTTGACCACAGCTTTGGAAAGGCTGGCCAGCTGATCTGTGCAGCCATGCTTTCAAAGAACTATCTGGTGTTTAATGGAGGATTTTAAATTTTAGTAAATAAACCTTCAGAAGGTTTGCAAACCCACAGGTACCAGGCACTGCCAATCTTCACCATGGCTTAGATCTAGTGCTCCTCCCCCAGCATGATTCATATGATTTCCAGACATGTAGGAAATGGCTTATTATAATCCCCCCATTATCCACACAACTGTTCTCCAAGCAGGTCAGGGGAGACATTGGTTACTGCGAAACAAGATCTGTGCACCTCCCTTGAGATGTAGAAATAATCTATCAGGCACCATTCAAGCAAGAGTTGTCACCCAGAGAAAATTTTTGGGGAGAGAAGACATTAATTCAAGAGATAATCAGTTTTTGGCAAGATGGAGTCAACACAACTCATTGTAGCAGTTGTGATATTACTAAAAATGTAATTATGTTATCCACCACCTGCAACGGCAGCTGTTAATTACTCTTTCAGGAAGAGTAATCTCATTTTCTTTGAGAATCTTCTCAGCAGAAGTCAAGGAACGGGACAGCCCAGAAATTCAGATTTGATGCAGAGGACCCCCTAACAATGAAGATAGAAAGTCAGAAAACTAGCTTCCTCTCTAGCATTCTTTCTCAGTAATATCCTTCCTAAATCATTCAAGAAGCACAATTTATTCCGCAGAGGGCATGTTATTATGACACAGTCTGCAGACGAGCACACATCAAGCTTCACTTTATAAACATCAAGAGGGTTGCCTTTAGAGGAGAGGTGCCCTCGGGCACCTGCGTTCTTTGCTGTCTTTCTGCCTTAATTTCCAGCCAGTTCATCATCTGAGTGGCCACAGGAAGAGGCAGAGTCTCCAGCTCATCCACCAAATAACTATCCAGCATTTGTAATTCTCAGCTTTCAACAGTTTGGACACTCAGACTCCAAGATGGAATGCAAGTCCATCTCCCTAGGGCAACAAATCCCTTAAAGAATCAACTATGATCCTGCCATCTAATCCCTTGGGAATAGGAACACAAACTGCATTTTCACCCATCTTATTCCCTTAGGGACTTTTGGGATAAACTATCACAAGTAGGCACTAATATGTTAATGTACTGCTCCTTCCAGGTGAGAGATTTTCATTTCAACAAGGAACCTTCAGATATATGACTTTACCCAAAAGAGCAGATCTAGTAGACATTACTGCACACTCTGAAAGGAGATGATTTACATGCTCTTCAAATCACATTCCACACCTGTAGCTGAAAGACCAGCCCTGGTCAAATTCAGTCATACACTGAATGACCATGTTTTTATCAAGCTGTTCCTATTGTTTTTAAAGTTATTGTGCAGTTATTTCTGAAATCAAAAAATATGGGGCAATACTGATGCCAAGGCCAGAAGCTGAATAATGCTTCTGTATAACAGGTCACAGTGTTCTGGGCCTTCCATCACTGGACAGGGCTCTTGTTCCCCCAGACAACCGTGTGAACAGACAGAAACTTGGTGACTGGCAGACTCATGTTGACCCCTTTACACCTCCAAACAAAAGACCACTCATTATGAGTTGCTTACTTCAGTAACTGTTATCATTCTAAGCTGAGACATATCTTTTGCTAGAAAGCAAATTGGAACCAAGCCATTCATTTCAGCTCCTAACACTCAGTGCTTTTTTCATATGGGATTTTTGAGAAGTGTCTGCTTATTCCAAGCTTTGTTGTTGTTGTTTTTTTTTCCAAGCTTTGTATTTTAAAGATGTGTGGTTGGGACATGGCCCTTTACCTAGGTTAAAAATAAGACTGATCCTTTTTTTCATGAACAAGTCTTCAGAATTTTCACTAACAAGCAGCATTCAAGGATGCTCATTGAAGGCGATCCAAGTTCCAGGGGAAGTGGATAAAATAAAGAAGCACCTAAAAACTTGGATTGACCTTCCCTTTATGCCCTTTCCTGGAACTAATGGGATCACCTACCCATTCCCCACCAGGGCACATGCTTCCTTTCCTGAGTGGTAGCAGATTTCCCACCTCATTAATAAGTTGTGACTAGGGGCACCTGAGTGGCTCAGTCGTTAAGCGTCTGCCTTCTGCTCAGGTCATGGTCCCAGGGTCCTGGGGTCAAGCCCCACATAGGGCTCCCTGCTCAGCGGGAAGCCTGCTTCTCCTTCTCCCACTCCCCCTGCTTGTGTTCCCTCTCTCGCTGTGTCTCTCTCTGTCAAATAAATAAATAAAAAATCTTTAAAAAAAAAAAATAAGTTGTGACTAAGCCTCACTCACTACTCATGCCAAGCCCCCTCCATAGAGGCCTGGCAGAGCTGTGGTTCATACTAGTTTTGTCAAACAGAGTGGGAAAATTCTCTTTCTCTGGAATTAGATAAAGCATTTGACATCCAGAACTCAAAGTCTATTGCAGAATACAGAGCTCCCCCTCTTCCATTTGTGGTAATCAGTGTCTTTACAAACTCCCTATCACCCTCTTCTTCAACTATAGCCCAGAGCCAAAAGAAGCTTATAACATTCTTCTCCCTTATACACCAAACTTCTGAAAAGACTATCCACTGACAAGCTTCTTCGCCTGTTTAAACTGATTAAAAGCAGATACATAGAGGTTTTGGATATTATTAGGCCTGAAACACTTGGTGGTTCTTTACTGAATGGGACTAAGTCGTTGAATTGGACAAAGGGGCAAGTAGATCCATGGGCTGTTTTTCATCTGCAAGTGGCATGATCTGAATATAAGTGGTAAGGGAGGAGGGGTAGATCCACTACAGGTGGGGAAGAGGTCAGGTCACCTGGCCATTGGGTAGGAGTGAAGGGGGAGCACCAATGCTATCGTTTGATTCTAGCAGTTACCCTACTGGAGACTGTAGGCAGCAGGGATGAGTGGTGGCCTCTCCCAGGAAGCTCTTCCCTCAAAGCCACTAACTAGATAGACCAGTGTAGACTGAAGCTTCTGCTGGAGTAACTCCTTCTCCTCAGGGTCCATCATTTGTTTTGTGTCATTAATTCATGTGATTGGGGTTTGGGTTCTACTTTGTTATGTTTTCTTATGTGTTTTGGTTTATTGCTTTTTACAGTTTTCTTAGTTTATGTTCAAAGATGAAAATGGATGTTCTATGTGAAAGCTGAGTTCCTTGTCTCTTTCTTTTGCCCATGGCTGACTGCATGCTTTCTATTGATGTCTTGTTCCTGGTTCTTGACATGACCATCTTGTCTGTGAAAGGAGGCACACCAGCGGGCTTGCTTGATCAGAAGAAAGGGAAGTTTGCTTGGTTTAGTCACTCCACAGAAACCCATGGTAATGTTCCCCTGCGCTCTATGTGTGTAAATGAGCATTGGTACATACCGGACTGGTATTTTTCTCGATGGTTTGTGATGCAGTGGTCATGAATGTGTATTTGTATGTGTGTGTATGTGTTTGTGTGTGTGTGTGTGTGTGTACGTATCTATAAGGGGATGGTAATCTGTCCCACTCAAAGCCACTGCCCTATCATCTCTTCATATGTATAAAGTCAGCAGACATGACAATCAGCAGCCGCTATTCCTTGATGGAACACTTCCTTTGGATAGTGCCAGCCAAGATTAAGGTCACCGTAAATGCCAACTTGGTACTGGTACAGGCAGTTCCTTGATTTAGGAGATAATATGGTTCCTCCTAAAGCCCAAGCCCATCCACTCCTAATTTGGTTGTATTTCCAAGCCTAGCACCACCATCATACCACTCCACTAACACATAAGGGGCTCTCTGGGAGCAAAGTGTCACAAAGTCAGAGCTCTTTAACTTTATTTTTTTAAGATTTTATTTATTTATTTATTTATTTATTTATTTGAAAGAGAGAGTTGGGGGGGAGCAGAGGGAGAGAGAGAATTCCAAGCAGACACCGCAATGAGCACAGAGCCCAATGTGGGGCTTGATCCCACAACCCTGAGATCACAACCTGAGCCAAAACCAAGAGTCAAATGCTTAACTGACTGAGCCACCCAGGCACCCCCCAGAGCTCTTTAACTTTAAACAATGATGCCTGAAGAGTGAAAGGAACCTTAGGTCAGAGATGACCAGAGATAGATGGTTTGAAAGGACTGAAGTGTATGACTTCTTCCTTAGTGTGGATGGAGGAAAGAATCTGGTAAGCTCTGAAGGTGCTGTCTTCCTAGCTCCCAGTGCTAAAACCATCCCTAAGGTCTGGCCTCACACACCAGCTCCTTCAGACCTCAGGCTACAAAGGGTGTGTAAATGCTATAAAATTCAACACCACTATTTGGCTATTCACCATGCTCCTATGATGCTTCCAGAGCCTGATCTGGCTATAAGAACCTCATCTTGTCTTAAAGTATAGAGTAGGGAGCTGGTCAACAGAGGGGCAATCAAGATAAGCATGGTGCAGGGGGTTATGACACTTGTACTCATGACCAAGTCCTACCCCCAAATACACTGTGTGAACTTGGGCATCTTCCCTTCCCTAAACCTCACTTTCCTGTCCTGTAAAGTGAAGGGAATAAGCTAGAGCTGGGTAATATCTAAAGTCACGTCCAGTGCCAACCTTCTTTGAAATGGCATCTAGATTTCTTTTTACCCAACTGTATTAAAAATGAGTCCTAGGGTAGAGAGGTCTCTTGTACATGACAGTCAAACATATGTTAAGTCATGGGCTTTCTATCTATATCTTGCATGTTCCTGACATGAGTCTCTTCTCACCCACCCATCTTTTCTTCATCCAAAAGAAATGAACCTTGGAAAATCTCCATCCAAAGATACTATCCATATAACCAGTAGAAGCTTTTCCTGGGCTGTGGCGGCCCCATGGGGACTTGTACAAGGTGTCACATCACCTGATGCCACACCCTCACTAACTGCAGATTGTGTGGCTCCTGAGAGTTAGTGATTTTCTCACCACATGAGGAGTTCTGTTCTGCAAGGAGAACGGAACCAGGACCAATGCCGTAATGGCCATTCTGAAGAACAAGGGTTGCCAAAAATAAAACTCATTTTTGCGTCATATTAAAAGGGTAAGAGAAGGTGAGGAGGAAGAATTCTCGAGTGAAACTTCTATTTGAAATAAAAAATAATGATAAAATAATGGCTTCTCTAAGCCCCTACACTGGGTTGCAAGCTAGAAAATTCCTGCCACTCTGGAAATGCAGCTCACTGCTGCCTTGGGAAGGGAGTGGAGATTGACCAGACAGATTGGCACCAGTGGAATTAGGTGGTTTACATCCCAAGTCAGCCTGCTGGGGTCGGAATGTCAGGATTGCTGGAAGGGGAAATGACATCCCGGTCTACGTTCAGTCTATCTTCAAGTCACATTTAAACTTAATTGGTGGATTCCACGATTATGTTCCCCATTCCTGGTGTCTGTAGTGCTAGTTTGAATCTTAGTACCTGATCCTGGTAATAGTCATTTATTTCAAGCTACCTATTTCAGGTACAGTCCTAGATGGAACTGACTCAGGACCCAGTGTCCACTACAATTAGGGGGGCAGTCTTCCACATCCATCTAGTACTTCACGAGGCAGCAAAAACATCCTTCCTACAAACAAGTTGGACCCTAAGTTTGGGGATGAAACCCCTTAGAATTGGTAGGTGGGGAAAAAAGCAAAATAAAATATTTTCATGAAAGCTCCTCTTTTTATGGCTCGTAGTGGATACAAATGGAAAAGCTTGCACAGCTTTTCTGAGGGCACAGAGTTGAGGGTAGGAAAGGATTCAATGGTCAGTGTTTTCAGGAAGTAAGTCCCACTAGTTAAACTCACCCTAGACAAGCAGCAGGTGTGACAGTCAAGGAAACCCCCAAACTTGGCCATGGCAGTGCCAGTGCCCCAACCTGCTCACAGCAGCACTGCCGCCCCGTCCCCCCCAACTAACAGATGCTGCTCAGGCCCTCCTCCTCCCAAGTAGCCCACAGTCTTGGGACTGGATGTTTCGCAAACTAATGCTCTTCTCTCCCCTTTTCCTCCCCACCCTCAATGCCTTGTTCTGCATCCCTTTGACTCTTGTAGTGAGCATGCCCACAAGCGAGACCGAGTCTGTCAACACCGAAAACGTGGCTGGAGGTGACATCGAGGGAGAGAACTGCGGGGCCAGGCTGGCGTGAGTAGGCACGGCGAGCCCAGGGACTCGGGCTTTTCCAAGGATGCGGGCAGGGATGCTGTGTCCTGAAGTCACAATGGGCTGGCCCATTGTGGGTGAGGCAGAGGTCAGAGGAACAGAAAACTCAGGCAGTGACTTGTGTGGGGAAAGAGGGCCCTCTGTCGAGTATGGCTCCTTGGCAGGGGGAGAAGTCTTAATACTAAGGCCAGTCTCTGATTCTTCACTCCTGTGACAGTCTGACTCAGGATGTGGAGCCCCTGTCCATTACATCAGAGAAATACAGGACAGGGCTAGGGGGACAGTGAGGGGAGGTTGGCAGTGGCTCCTAAGTCTGTTTCTTCCCAGCCCCTTTGCCCCCTGTCACATGAGGCACCTATGTGAGGGTCCCTGGGTCCTGCCCACCACCCTTTCCATTCTGGTAAATGTGACCTGGAAGAAGAGCAAACAGGTAAGAAAATACCCTGGGAGATAATCAACATGTTGGTCCTTCTCTGCAACTCTAGTTACCTACCTAGTGAAGGGAAACAGAGATGCCTGAAGTGCAAACTGGAGTTAATACAAAATTCACCTGTGCTTATTCACAACATGGCCAGACACCTTGTCCAAAAGTAGCTCCAGCCTAGATGCCCACAGCTTCCCTTCCCCTAGGGCAGACCCCAGGCCCCAGGCTTCGGGGAGCCGACTGGCCCAAGATTGCGCCAGGTGCACAGAAGAACAATTCACTCATGAACTATCACAATCACCCATCTTTGATCTTAAAAATGGAAACCAGTAGTCCCTGGGAAATGTTCCCCCACAAAAAAAAAAAAAAAGTGAAGGGAAAAAACAGTTTAACTGCTAAAAATAAGCAAATTGCTGATTCTATTACCAGCATCTCAGCAGAGTCCAAAGATTAAAGTCCTATTCTGTCAGGGATTCACACTGACCTTGGGCATGAGGCCTCCTGGAGCATTCAGGGTCTGCTCTTGGAAGTGGAGCCTGCTTTTCCTGTTGGCTTGGTGGTGTAAGAATTGTAAGCTCACCCCAGTCACTAAAAAGCACCGCATACAGAAGGCTCTGAGTAGGACCAGTCCCAAATGAAATGAATTTCTAAATTGCTCCATCAGTGGAACAGCATCTTATTTCACCCTTCATCCCTGAAATGACTCAATAGGCTGAGCAAACCCCAACCTCTTTAAAAAGATTCTCTGTAGGTGAGTCTGAACACAAGCCATGCCAACCTTGAGAATGGTCTCCGAGAAAGGAGAAGGGAAAACAAGGCTTAGGAACAGACTGGCTCTTGCAATTTCTATTTCCAGGCTACACAGGGCTTTCAGCATCACTCACTCTGACAGTGGCACCAGGGAGTCTGCACTGCAGATTTCTCGGCATCATTGGGAAGCAATTATTGTCAAAATGTTGTTAAAATACGGGGCTAATTACATTTTTAAGCAGCAGTCCAAGCCTTTCCCTCTTCTCCTGCCATACAAAGCAAGCACTCAAGTTTTTGCAAATGGGCCCCAGCGAACCTTCTAAGTCTGTCAGGCCTTTCTGTGGTCTTAACACCAAGGAGGGTTGTAGAGAAGATGGTGGAGGACCCTGCAACTCAGGCTTTGGGGCATAGCTCAAGTTGCAAACCAGGAGAGACCAGAGAAGTTCCTAGCCCTAGGAAGTCACTTGAAAGTACATTTCAGGAGAGCATGGAGATCTGTTGGAAGGAGAACATGATTATCCTCCAGGGAGGGAAGCTGGCACCTCTAGTGTATCTGTCATTTCCTTGAGGACACATTCTGCAGGCTGGAGGAGCTCTGTAGAAATGGTCCCTGTTATCCTTATGAATATCCACATTTATGCTTCTACTCTGTGCATATAAAATACCTGGACAGAGTGCCAGGATTATAATATATACTTAATAAATTATGGTCTTTCCCCATCTCTCTACCCAGCCCACCCCACTCAGACAACCATGGGATAAGACTGCCAACATTCCTGGTGGGAGAAACAGTATGAGAACAGGCTGGGGGCTGAAACCGAGTGTGATGGGGAGGAGACAGTGAGGGGCTGGCATTTTTAGAGCTAAGAATTAAAAGGCTTGTGTAGTCAGATGAGGTCAGGATGAAAATTTATATGTAGTGAGAAGGGCTGATGAAGATGGTCCCTGAGGGGGTGGGAGCAGAGAGAAAAAGGAACTGCAATATGATACTTTGTTGGGGAGAGGGAGGTGATGAAGAAGAAGGAACCATCAAAGTTTGAAGACAGAAAACAGTAAGGATGCTGAAGTAAAATTTGAAACAAGGATCCAACTGAGGGACCTGTAGGTACCATGCAGGCAACAGGATATGGAGGTCCAAGGCTCAGCTCTGAACAAGAATGGAGCCACACACTTGAGGTTATCAGTATAAAAACTATTAATGAGGCTATAGGATGAGGGTTGGCCAAGGGCTAAATCTTGGGAACCTGACAGACAGAAGAATAAGAATAAGTAAGTGAAACAGATGAAGAGGTTTTAAGACAACAGACAGCAGCACTTGCAGGAAGGCCACGGGAGAAAGAGTTTCAAGAGAGCACTGTTTATTGTACATTCATTCAGCAGTGTGCCCAGCTTGGTGCACAGTGATGGTGATGCATAGCAGGAGAAAAAAATTGATATCATTTCACTGGAGTTTATAATCTGGTGTGGAAGTGATATTAAACAAGTAAATTAGTCATAGAAATAGGGATAAGTGTTAAGAAGGAAAAGTAGCTAAGTAGTAGGGTTAATAACAAGTTAGACTGGCAAGTTAGGAAACACTTTCTTGAAGAATTAAATTTAAGCTGAGAACTGAAGAGTGAACATACATTATTATTGAGGTGAAGAGTAAGGAAGAATGTTCCAGTCAAAGGCAACAGTGTGTTTCAAGGCCCTTGGATGGAAGAACTGGGAGGCCAGGGCATATTGGTGGGGGAGTGGGGAAGGGGAGGCTGGAGGAAGGGCATGGCCTGGTAGGCCCCTAATGATCTTTGTCTTTATCACAAGACTGTGAGAAGTCACAAGAACATGGAACTGGCAAGGGAGGTTGATTGAGTTAGTTTTGCATTCTCGAAGGATCACTTGGATGTCAGGGAAAGAATGGGTAGAAGTGAGGCCGCTAGGGAACACAGTGAAACACAGGGCAGCAGCCTCGATAGCAGTTAGTGAGGTGTGAGATGATGCTGGCTCAGGCTAGAGTCACACATGGAGATGAAGAAAGTGGTCGTGGGTTCTGGAGCCACACTCTACAGGACTTGTTTGCGGGAGCTGGAGTCTTAGTGAAGGAGAAGGGTGGGAAGGAGCCAGCTTAAGGCACTCACTCCAGAAGTGAGGCCATGGAAGGGAGAGGAGAAAATAAGATGGTAGAAAGGGAGGCAGCAATGGCCAAGTGAGAACTCGTTTTTCACCATAGTAAAACACTGGGGCAGTCTTTGCGGCAAAGAAGTGACCAATGAAAATGGAGGGTCTACAGATGCTGGGATGGAAATGAGTGATTATAGCAAGACATTGCCTAAAAAGAGGAGAAGGTTGACTTCAGAGACACAGTTGGAGATGCTAGATTTACACAGGAAGAAGAAGTTCCTTACCTCTGGGACTAATTGGAAGATAGAAAAAGAGACCTGGCATCAGGAGTCCTGGATCAAGTCCCAGTCAGCCACCAAAAAGCCATTGTTGCTTTGACCTCAACCAAAGCACTTCCCCTCTGAGTCTTGGTCTTGCCCTCTGGGACACGAAGGAGTTGGCTTGATTGTTGGCTCGGGGACTACTAGCAGAGGCCCAGAACTCCTGGGAGCCACTTTCAACTCTTGTTCATTTGGGCTTCCATGTAAGATTTCCTATGAATAAAACATTCTACAACCCGATAAATTGCAAACCATAGTTCCAGGTGACATCTAAGGATCCCATCCAAGCTCTCAAACTCTATAGTTCTATAAAGAATGTAGAATCAGAAATAGGCTCTGATACAGAGAGTCAATGATAGGAGTCAAACCAAATTATCTGTCATCTAGTCACAGAAAGTGGGGGTTAGGTGTCCTAGGAACCTGAAGAACAGTACAGAAGATTCAAGCTAGTGAGTCACCAAGAGGTCACTAAAAGATCACCGAGGAGTGCTGAAGCCACAGTGGAGCCTGACATTGTAAATGTGAAGGCAGCCTTGCAAAACGATTCGACAGATTTTTTTGGCAGCCTGCATGGCCCAGAAGCACTAAAAACAGCCGTGTGAACCAGGGTGGCAGTGTAGCGAGGCAGGCAAAGTACAAGTCCCAGGCCGTGTGTTGAGGGCAACATTGATGTGACGCTAGTGCCAAGCTAGGAACTGGAAGTTAAGCCTGGCATTAGCCTGGGAGCCCTGGAAGGGGGTGAATGATGGGGAAGACCCAGTGAGGGCAAAGATTGGGTTCGGAGCAAGAGCAGGAGGATGAATAGAGAAGGAGAATCTGGCCAGAATGTGGAGCTACTGAGTTCAGCATCCAGTTGTTGAAGCAGTGCTCTGTGATGACAAGGTCCATTACCCTTCTAGGAATAACAGCTGTGGACAGTGTTGAAGTTGTGGCGTCAAGGAATTTGAGTCAGATGTGTGTCAGCCTGGATGGTGACTGCAATGCCATCTGACTTACGTTAAAGGCAAATTGAGACAATTCAGGGAGATACTATTTCATACCGCAGGTAGTAAACATACTGTGTTCATTACTCTAAGAAGGTGAGAAAGGCTGAAATATAAATAGGCCCCCAAGAAGTAAGTAGTTAAGCAAAAGGAAAGGAGTTTGGGACTCGTCTCTAATTTTGAACCTTAATATCAACAACAAAAATCATGGTTCCCTAGAAGGTTTGTCTTGGAGGCCTGGGCAGAGAAAGTATCTTGGGTTGAAGCTACTTCAGGTCCAACCCAGTAGAATTGCTCTGATGGTCTTGAGTGTCAGTTACTTTGTCCACCTCCTAGCTCTTCTTCAGGAAATCATTTAAAACATGAGGTGGGAATTGTACCTCACTAGGACAATAATGATAGAAAAAGCCAAGAAGACTTCTGAGCAAGTTGTGCGTCCCCCATTGGGATTTGGAGAAACTAGAGCCTCTACTGTGCTGAGGAATCTGAAGTGGTTTAAAAACCAGTAGGAGGAAGCATTTGCCACACATCAGCCAACCCAGGGTGTGGAGTGGGGGCCATGACACCAGGCTGCCATAGACTCCCCAGTTTGCTTACTCACAGAGTGAGACAGACCAGCTTTCCAAACCTTGAGCCAATACTTACTTCCCAAGAGGTGAGGCTGCTGAGCAACTGGGTCCTCTGTTTTCATGAAATGGGATTCTACAGTTGACTCCCTGCTATATAAGGCAGTATGGAGGCTTTACAGAGTTCTAACCTCAGCTGTCTAAGAATTAGGGTTTTCCTTTGTCTCTAGACACTTGCCACTTGAGCAATACCCTCCTCTCTCTTAAGTAGGGGCGCTTAAGTAATGTGGTACTTAAAAGGGGATGAACTGACCCAGTGAGCCTAAAATTATGCTTACAATCCCCTGAGATTAGCAACAACAACAAAAAATCAGTCTTCAAGTGTGGTGTCAAGGGTTATACATCAGGACTTGTAACTAAGTGGAAAAGAAAGTTCTGCTCCATTTCCTCCTCTTCAGAATGTGCCAAAATGCCAAGGAAGGGCCCATAGCTCATGACCATGCTGGAACTAGGACTAGGATGTCATTTCAAAAAGTCACCTCAGCTCTGATCCCCCTCTGTGCCCACGTCCCAGAGTCATTTCCCTGGAAGATATGATTTTGGGTTTTAAGAACCCACTTTTGCTTATGACCCCCTTGGACTGAGAGAGCCTTAAAGGAAAGAGCACATGGTCTGCATTGAAGGACACCCCTGAGAGGATCACTGAGACATTTCTAAGAGAAGGCCTGGGGCCAGGCCAGGCTGTGTAGACAGAGTCATGAGACTAAAGGCCACAGTCATCCACTTTGGCTTATGCCTAACAGCAGAGAGGCAACTGTCCAAAAGTAAGCCTAGTGAAGACCCTGAAGGTCCCCAAGCTCAGCATGGCCCTGCTGGGGAAGAGAAGACCTCGATTCTCCATCACCCAATTAGCAGCTGGAAAACATTTGTTTCCCCCATTAAACTGTGGCTCTAAATAAAAATGCTGCCCTTGGCTCCTGGTCCCCCTCCCACACACTTTGTTAACATGTGATTAAACACTCCAGCCCTAGCAAGCAGCCTTGGGGGTGGGAAAAGGTTATTAGCTAACGGTTCAGAGCAGTAAAGGCACTTGGCTAGGATTCTCAGTGCCCCAGAGATATAATTATCTCATGCACGATGGCTTTGCCACCTGTCACATCTTCTGGTTTAATTTTTTTTTAATAAAAAATAACGAGAGAGGTTGTTTTCTTGCTATGTGACAGAGCTCACTTTGTGCTGAACTGGGACAACACAGGCTTGCAGCGGTCGCCTCCTGAACTCCTTGCTCCTGTTTTCTGTCTGCATCTGTCTTTGTCTCCCTACCAGTGTTCTATCACTTTCTTCGTCTCTAACCTGCGTTCTGCATCCATCCATCTACGTGTCCATCTGAGCATGGTTGCTCCACCTGCAATCCTCTGGTTCACTTCCTGAACACCAAAGCCTTTTCTGACACATTGCCTTCACCTGTTTTGTCTCAAGGGCTTACATTCCTCCCGCCCTCCCTTCCTCCCTCCCTCTCTCTCTCTCCCTTTCTCCCTTTCTCTCGCTCCCTCCTCCCTCCCTCTCCTCTCTCTCTCTCTCCTCCCTTCCTGCTCCCAGCCTTTCTCCTCCTAGTTTTCCCTGCACTCTCCAACATGAACTCAGTAGCCTCAGGGCCTTTCTGAAGGGTCCACCTTTCTGTGGGCCTCCTTCCCCATACCACAACCCTTCGAGTCACACCTGCCCTGTGTTTTGCCCAGAAATCCCCCACGTCTTCAAGGCTTCATGTGACTGTCAGCATCCTGGGTTTCTGTCAGGACCGATGGCTGTTCCTTTAGGCCCAGTTGCAGCCCTCAGGCCAGGACTATAGTGGCTTCTCAGTTCCCAGCTGGCTTGTTTTGCTTATCTTCCCTTCATACCCCAGCATTGGCCAAGCTCCTGTTGGGACAGCAGTGGGGTCTGCAATGACATGTTCCTGCCTGTGGTTTCCAGCTGGTGAGACCTTCACATCTGCAGAGAGGCCTTCCTTCCCTGCATGGCTCTCATCAAGGTGCCGCATTCCCAACACATGGCCTAACCTGACTTGGCTGGACCTGCTGGGCAGATGCTGTGTGCCACACAGCACCTGCCCTCTCCAGGGACTATTAGTTCCACTTAGAAAACACTAGATTTGTAGATATGTCAGCTGGGCCAGCCCTCAGTTCCCACATTCATATACATAAACACACCAAGAGATGCTGACAAGTAGGGTTCTCTCTCTCTCCGGAGTCATTCTGCTTCACTCCTCACATCCATCCAGCACCCATTTCTAGTCACGCAGGGCCATCAAACTTCTCTGGGACTGCTGAACATCTTTTAAATGGAAGAATATGCATATGTGTCCCTTGGTAACATCTGCTTTTTCTCTTTCAGCCACCGGATTTCCAAATCAAAGTTCAGGTGAGTGAAACGCATGCTCTTCTTTCCTACCGCACACCAGCTCTGTCCCCGGTTACACTTTTGGGTAGCCCAAGGTAATACCTACCAGGTGGGGGGGGGGTACAGTGAGGGTGTTTTTCTAAGGGGTAAATGCCTCTCTTTTGTATGGCTATCAAGAAAAGACTTTTAGATCAGATCCTGCATATAATTCAGGGGTCGATATTTGTTGAATTTTCTTTGCCAGTCTTTTTTGGCAAGTACCATCCCTAGGAGGTTGGGAGACCTAATGTGTCTCCCTTCTTTATAAGATGAAGTTCAGTTAAAATAAATATAATGTGGACACTTGCTACTATTCTTGCCTACTTCATCTTTATGGAACACAGTAAGAAATGAACTTTAAGGATTATGGAAAACACATAGGATCACGACACTGCTCTGCTTCAGAACCTTCCACAGGACCCCTGGTCTTCAGTCCCATGTCTACCTTTCCAGCCTCACCTCCTGCACTCCCCTGCACACACTCTTTGTTCCAACCACATGGAACTTCTTGCAGTCACCAGAATGTTCCCTGTCCTCTCAGACATCAAGGCCTTTCCATGCAGCCTTTCTTCTCCCTGAATCACTGTGTCCACAAGTCTTCATCTGGAGAATTCAGGTTTTTGTTAAGAACCTCAGATGTTACTGCATCTACATCTTCTGCAAACTCTTCCAGGGAAGTTACTCACCTTCCTCCACTCCCATTCATACCTCTGTCACAGCACTTAGCATACTACATTCCAATTATTGGCTCACAGGCCTGTCTCCTTCAGTAGGCTCTGCATGTCTCAGACGTATTCTTTCTAGAGAACCTAGCTAAGTGCCTGCCCAGGGGTAGGCTGTCCATACATATATGTTGAATGGATGAATGAATGGATTTGTGGAGTGGAGATGCGAATTTTCCCCCACAAAGCTTGTACATGCCAAAAATATTGGTTGTTTATGTTTTGTAATTGATCTAATCTTGCTTCCCTAGCCTCACCCACTGTGTAGCAAGAGCATAAATAACACTGAATTTTAGTCCAGCTGGGTAAATGGAACCCAATGCTATGCTTTAAATAGTTCCCGAAGGTAAAATGTTCAGTCTCTCATATTTCCACTTCCCCAGCTTTTCTCCAGGATGGAGTCTGGATGCATGGGGGCAGGGAACTTCAAGATCCTGGGAAGTAAACAGGGCTTGGTGAAGGCTGCTCCTGGAATCCCTCTGAGTCCTCTGCCTATCTCCACTGTTTGATGGCTGGTCTGGGCTTCTCTCTGAACTTTCAGGTCCTTACTGGGGTGCAGCAGCCCATCTGGTTTGGACATCCACTCGCTGGAGTCCATGCCCCCCCATATTTACATTCGATCTTGAAATCTCCACCTCTGCTTTCTGACCCCCAAGCTCTGTCAGTCACTGACTTCAGCACCTCCATACCTCATCTGAGTGCATGGACACTTCCAGGTCCTTCACACTCCATGAACAAGCTCTGGGGACCCCAGGCTCACCTACCTCTCTGCCACCTGCTGCTGTCTGCACCAGCCTGAATAGAGCTCTGAGCCAAAGGCTGACATTCTCCCAGGGGTCTGCAGATACCCCCCCATACTATACCCAGTGGAGGCTATCCACTAGCTTCAGCATACCTGGGCCTCCCAATGACTATCTGGGTGTTTCTAAAGCAACCCTCTGCAATCTCTTGAGACTTAGCACCCAGGGCTGAGAATTAAGTGAGGACTCTGGTATCTGACTTTCACCTCTATTTCTGATATCTTCTTTCTCCCATAATTCACTGCAATTGGAAAATGTAGACCTTTCTCCCATTCCTCTTTCTCTCAAGCCAAGACCTCCTTTACATTAAAAAATCTAGGGTCAAGTCTACCAGGCCTAGCCCTAATTACATGAAAGAGAGTTACAGAAATACAAAAAATCCTTTCTCTCTTGATAGTGTTTGGATTTTACTGCTTTATCTCCGGTGTCTGGGGAAGTGGCTAATACATAATGGGGACTGAATTAATACTTGCTGAATGAATGAATGAATGAATGAATGAATAAGTGGTCTTGCCTCAGTAAGACAATAGGCTTACACAGACTCAAATAAAATGTCTGATTTGACAGCCAAAGCTGAGAAAGCACTTTGTGTTCCTGGCAGTTTTAAATCCCCCACACAGTAAGAGTAAAGGGATATAAAAATCCATTTGAAAATATTTCCAAAATATCATTCTCATTGCATATAAATGAATGAATCATAAATGAACAAATGAATGAGTGAACAAATGAATGAACATAATCTGAAGGATTGGAAGAGAAATGACATCTTTGTATGCACTCTGTCTCGTAAGAGATTGCCCAGGAGATTCTGGGAACATTTTTCTATCCAGTGACCTATGGTACAACCCATACTTGTAACAAAGGAGAGGAACAGTGCCCCCCCTAAACCTTTGGACTCTTTGCTAAGCTTTGAGACTCAGCTCAACCTGCTGTCTACCTAACCTCCTGTATTCCATCCATAGGATCTCTGAGAAGGGTTTCTCCCTCTGCTGCTACTATTCAAGATACAACAGAAATACAGAGAGAAAACTGTATTCCCAAAACGTACAGAGAGAAAACTGTATTCCCAAAATGTGTACTACCAGTAGTTTGGCACTATCATTCAACCGATTTTCAGATGAAGATACTGAGGCTGAGAGAGGCCAAGGGTCACATGTTCACATCTGGCCGAGTCAGAACCCATACCTGTATTAACTAACCACCATGCTAGCCAAGTGAAATGTTCTGTCCAGGAATACTAATACTAGAGCATGGGCCCATAGCTCTACAGCAGTGCTTTTGAATAGAAATATAATATGAGCCACATTAAGACTTTTTAAGTTTTTCTAGTAGCCACATTAAAAAGTAAAGAGAAATAGGTGAAATTAATCTTAATATAATTCATTTAACCCAGTGTATCTAAAACATTATCATTGCAACATGTAATTAATATAAGAATTACTAATGAGACATTTTACATTCATTTTTTTTTTGTACTAAGTCTTTGAAATCCAGTGTATTTTACCCTTACTATGTGTCTCAGTTTGGACTGGCCAATTTCAAGTGCTCAAGAGCCACAGGTGGCTAGTAGTTACTGCACCAGACCATGTGGCCCTAAAAGGTCTGAGCAGATAGCAAACGGGGGCCCTCTAGTCTAGATGCTACAGCCCACTGATGGTGTATATTTAAGGAATATCAAAGGCTGGCAATGGATTGAAAATGCCATAAAAAAAAGTAGGGGCCCCTGGGTGGCTCAGTCGCTAAGCGTCTGCCTTCAGCTCAGGTCATGATCCCAGGGTCCTGGGATTGAGCCCCACATCTGGCTCCCTGCTCA